AAGAAGTTTTATAAATAGATGATATGGTAAATCTAAAAATTACATTTAGTTGGACTTGCAAAAACATGTATTAATGGGTTTATGCTATAAAATTAATAAGAATATGTAGAATTAATTGACATGTTTTCATTGGTTAATTTGAATGATATGTTCTTTGAAACTCTCATTGAGTGACACATAGAATTTTCACCTTAGTGTCCTCAATTAATATATAGAGAATTAGGCAATTTAGTTTAAATGCATATGTCCACAAAAAGTTAAATATTTTTACCATATAATGTACATTTTATTATTATTAGGCAATGAAAGTAAAGTGTATCTTACTGTAATTTGATGTTTTTAATATATGTTTCTCCTTATGGCAATATATCTTCTATTTTGTCAGTGCAATATATCTTTTTCATCTAAAATTGCTAAGTTCGTATAAAATAAATTACAACTATTCAAAATGGTATTACTCTCATCATATTTTCTCAAAATATTTGACAAATGTGATAGGAAAGTAAAATCATTTCTAAACTAAAATAATTACAAAAATTAACATTTTTAGGTATTTTCAATAAATAATTTAAATGTGTAACTAACAAACATACATTTTAAATGATTGAGAGTATTTTTCGCAATGTTTAAAATGTTACGTAACGGTTTTTTAAAAAAGCGCGCGTATTACATAAGACTATTTTAAATTAAAAAATAGTGGTTTTTTTAAAAAAGCGCGCGCATTATATAAGAACATTTTAAGCTAAAAATAAGCGCGCCCATTACATAAGAAAAGTTTAAACTAAAAGTAATGTGTATAATATCTTACTAAATTAAAATAAAGAATAACCATTTTCATTTCACAATTTTGAACCTATAATATCTTCTTTTTAAAAGTCAAGGAGAATAATTAATAAAAAAAAGCAAAACAAAGATAAGAGTGGTCTTAAGAGTTAAAACACTAACATCACAAACAAACAAAATCTAGACTTTCAAAAGCTTATAAATAGATAAGTCTCTTAGTTTCTCCATAGACACCATCTTCGATCTCTCTAATTCTCGTTTTTCAAAAATCCTTACATTTTCATAATGGTTTCAAGAAACAAATCAGATTTCTTATCAAATCTACCTGATTGCTTACTGATTTCAATCATCTCTTTTTTACCTTTAAAAGAATGTGTACGAACGAGTGTTCTTTCTAAAAGGTGGAGATATCTTTGCCTTGACACAACAAACCTCGTATTCAAAGAATCCGAGTTCGTGAACCTATCTGCCTTCGATAAAGAAACCAAAAGGAATGAGAGGAAATTGTTTGTTGATATTATGTGTCGATGGATCTCGGTATTTACCGGTGAATTCATCGATAGTTTCGAACTTTATCTCTCTGATCTGGAGGGTTTCGAGAAAGAGATCATATCTCTAATCGAATTTGCGACTTCCAAACGTGTGAAAAATTTAGTGCTTGATTTCTCAGACACTATATCGAAGAAAGATAGTGCAATAGATCATTTGCACAAACTGATTTATTATCAAACCCATGGATTAGATATTTCTCGTCTCGTTTTCAACCTTTTGTATGTTGAGAACTTAACAATATGCTCTTTTCTACTTCAGGTAAATTCTTCTTCACTCTTTCAATTATATTACATTTTCACACCTTATGAAGTCAATTTCACTAGATCATTCAATATAATTTCTAATAATTTAGGCTTGGGAAAATTGGATTCTTTAATGGTTCTCTAGTGAAGGAAATATGTTGAACATATTGTAGTATGTAAATTTCGTAAGATTTTGTTAGATCATTAATATTACTTTGGTGTTTTTTTAGGGTCGCATATTATTACTTTAGAGTTTGTTTAGGTCAATTTACGTATATCTTTTCTTCGATGATGAAGATGATCCAAGATTGTGACAATCCTAAGGAGTTGCACGAACCGATGAAAACAAAACATTTGGTGATGAAGACAAACATGCACACAAATGAGTTCGGAGGAATCAGTATATTTTTAAATTGTTGTCCAGAATTGGAGTCTCTCACATTCGATATGCTAACTACTGAGCTTATCGTGGTAAGTTGTGTTTCTTTTGTTTATACATATCAGTACACAATATTACAATATATATCTAAGTTTTGTTATTTGTTAAAACACTCGAGTTTAATTGTATTTTGCAGAGACCTTCCTTGCCATTCGATTCGGAAACGTATTGGCTTACTAACAAAACGTACGACTGTTTGGAAAAAACGCTTAAGGTTGTGGAAGTAAAGAACTTTCGTGGTCGCCCGAACGAGTTACATGTGCTTCAATACTTGATTCGAACTGGGCTTGTGATGGAACGGCTTGACCTTTATGAGGCAAAAGGATTGAACGATAATGAAAGGAGGTTGGTACTTGCTGGAGCCGAGGAGGTTCAACGGAAGTTCAAGAGAGGTTCGAGCCATTTACGGATTACTCTACACAATGCTTGAATGAAGCATTGTCTAGTGTACAATGTATCCATTTGGTGATATTACCGAGTTTGCTTTGTTTGATATTTAAGGATGGATCTTTTGTTCTTATATTTGGATTTGGTTTGTTTAATTTTTCTTTTTACTAGTTTGAAAAAAAATTGTTTGTTTCCTTTCGATATTTGTTGTAGTTTCGGTTTGGTATTTCAGAAAATTAAGTCTATCTTTCAACAAAAATAATATTTCCTTAGACGTTCATTTTAAAGAAAACAATATTCAAAAAAATGTTCCATTTCAATGCAAAAAGTAGTAGTAGTTGCTTTTCCAATGCCCATACATACACTTGTTTTAGATCCGTGTTTAGATTTTGTTTTAAACAAATGTAAGACTATTATTAAAATTAGGCAACTTTAGTGCATAAATACATCCAGAAATAGTTAAATAATCTTGCTTTATAATGTACACTGTATTACTGTATAATACTATAATGTACACTGTATTACAGTTGACAATGAAAGTAAAGTATTACTTTCTTGTAAGTTAATATGCTTGAGATCTGTTTCTCCTTATGGCAAACCTTTTCTTTTTAAAATAGGGTGCTAAGTTGGTATGTAATAATTTACAACTATTAAAAATGATTTTACTCTTCTTACAATATATTTCTCTAAATTTTTGACACATGTGATTAAAAAAGAGAGAATGAAATCACTTCTACATTAATATTTTCCTTGATATTATTACACATATACAAATTTAGTGTTTTTGGTTATTGTCCAGTAAATACAATATAAAAAACATTAACATTACAGACAACAAATTTGAGACATTCACAAGCAATATAAATAGATAACTCTCTCATGAATTTTTTATAGTCATTTGTTTATTCATAGACACCATCATCGATCTCTTTGTATATCGTTTTTGAAGATCTCCATATTTTCATAATGGATTCAGGAAGAAAATCAGATTTATTATGGAATTTATCTGATTGTCTTTTGGTTTTGATCATATCTATCTTACTTTTCAAAGAATCTGAACGGAAGAGTGTATTCTCTAAACGATTGGGGAATCTTTGTCGTGAAACAACAAGCATCGTATTCAAAGAATCCGGTTTCGTGAACCTAAATGTCTATCGAAGACATTTAGGTTCACGAAATCGGATTCTTTGAATACGAGGTTTGTTGTTTCACAACAAAGATGCCTCCATTGTTTAGAGAATACGTTCTGTGGAGATATCAATCCCGTGATTGATTCAAATTGCACTTACTCTGTATTTCCTTTTGCAGTTGATATCGATCTTTGTACATTAGGCAAGTAGGTCAATTGGTTTTGCATATATAACGATGTATATTAACCAGAAGGAATAACACTCATAAATTATTCATCTTGTTCTTGTGCCTCTTTGATCGTAACATGGTATCAGAGCACGAATCCATTTTTTTTAACTTCTGAAAAT